ATTGCAATTGATTTCAATTGAATTGATTTTTTAATCTGATTGAATTATTGATTGAAATTTAATTGATTAACGCCCAACACTGTTCTGTTCTGTGTGTTCTGTCCATGAACTGGTTGAGGCATAATTTAAGGTATGACTAAATACAATACTAAGTTTTTATTTTCAGTCGCACATAAAGGTTTTCCGAAGGCGCAACCGCTAGTAGATGCGCTGGTTAATGACTTTAGACTGGATACGAAAATGCCTGTCGAACAACAAAGAGGCCGCGGCGTCGATGCTTTCATGAGCTTCATAAAGGGCCTCAAGGTACTACTAAATTGAATTTAATTTCGGCCATATCAATGCAGGTACGGACGGACAGCACATCCAGCTGCATATTAACGGATTTCGTTCCGTTGCACTGGAGCCATAGATTTCGAGATTAAAACAAAAGTTTATTGCTTGATGTGCAGTTGCCTGTACATCCAAAGCATCCAAAGACCCAGAGTAATGGGAGTGATCTAGAGTCGGCGTTACTGTTAGTCCGCAGCATTTAATAATAATATAAATTTAATTTAACTGATTTATTTCGTACATTTAAAAAAAACGGGTTTACCTGTGTTTTAGTAAAAATAATCTAGGATGATCGTTTATGTTTAAAATAATGATTTAATTACAAACCCACTCTGAATTCTATTAATTATGCTTAAGGCTTCTGTAGTTTATTTTGATATAATAATACACCGAATATATTTTATTCAATTTATGTAAAACATCAGACCTCCAAAACTTCAAACTGGTATATCTTTAATTCCAGACTTCTCAGAATAGTAAACCCAAAACCAAATTTGCCTAGGAATTTAAACTCCACATTTTCGCATTATTTTTTCATAAACAGACGCATACAAATTATGTCAACAAACATGGGAATTCGCCATTATGTGAAAGTAAAGTCACAGGTATATGTCTCCACGGGGAGTCGAATCTTAGATGTTTGCAATAATAATCTAATTCATCTATTTGATGTTCAAAGGGGTAGAATGAGTTTAAATAATTTCAATCATCGAGTATATAACCCTTAGAGGATGGAAAAAAATAAAGGAAAGGAGCTGACCTATCTACGGAATAAACGTCCCTACCTAAACCAAAAATGTCTACCACAAATGGCGGATTTAGTGTTGTACCATAATCATAGATAAGTCAATTTCGACATGCAAATGTATGGCTTGAATGTTGAGACTGTTTTTTATGTTTTTGCTCCGATTGGCCAGCCCGAATTTGAAATCTACATTAGAGTTGGGCAAGCAAATACTATATTATCGAAATCGATAGGCAAGATATATATGTATCGACGGGTCCTAAGTATGAGAGCCAAACTAACAATTTGATCATTTTCACTTCTTGCATGGGAAATGCTTCATTTCATTATAAAATGAAGCATTTCCCACAAAGAAGTGTAAATGATCAAATTCTTAGTTTGGCCCTTATACTTAGGACCTATCGATATGGCATTATACCATTACCTGTTTTTTTAAACGACTGACCAAACAAAGGAGCGTAATGTTTTCATGGTGAATATATATAAGGAAATATCGTTTATTGATTCATCTGTAACTTCTGAAAGTTTTAACCGATTTCGAATTGTGTAGTATTGTAAGGGTCGTATTCTAGAACTCTACTCAATGCTCAAGTCAGGATTGCACTGGAAACACAAGCACTGGAAATACGACCCTAATTGTAGGGACTTGAGTATGATTTTCAGTGCTCACTGCAGTACTCAAGTCCTGACTTGAGTATTGAGTAGAGTTCTGGAATACGACCCTTAGAATCCATAGTCGTTGCGAGTGAGCATGGCATTGGGTATCAAAAATGTCAAAACACAATTTTGTACTGACAGCAAACAAAAAATATATATGAATTAAAATAAAATAAATTTTTTAGTTTTCTTTGTAAGAGCACAGGGACAGCCGTGTTTTTTAATTTTTTTTCAAGTCGATTTTATTATGCAATGAAGTAGAAATAAATTATATAAGGATAAGGGAAAAACTGCCGTGTTTAATTAAACAGTTGTTGAAAGTTCAAATGACATTTAATATGCACAAACTGGATATCTAAAAATACAGGTACTTATTTAATCAATTTAGGCATCTCAAGTACACTATTAGAGTTTTAAGATTTAATTGAATAGCTTTATGAAGGTTGCTTAATATATAAATGTACTCTCAAACGAAAACTATTTTCCTGAGCAATAAAAAGGGACGATTCTCTATAAACTCTGTCATCTGCGATCTATCAACTCTATCATCTGCGAAATCATACCTACAATTCTACAATCTATTACATAATAATTAGTGTTGTGACCGCCAGGATGGCTGGTCGCCTGTGGCATCTGGCACTGAGAGTATATTCAAGAATGCTACTATTTTCTATTGATAGCTTTGATATATTCTGAGAAATTAAAAAAAAATATTGGACCAGCCATTCTGGATCATTCAGGACGGCTGGTCGCCACTTTGTTCGGCATGAAGGGAGCAGATTTTCTAGAAGTATGTATTACCAATAATTTCTACCTATAGCAAATAGGTAGAAATTCGTGAAAAAAAAGAACTTTCATGAATTAAAGGTATACGCTTCTATTATTATTATACAGAATATTTTTTGGAATATACGGAGACATACACACAGGTCAGGTGTTGGCGCTGTACTATTTCAGTGCAAACGAGAGTTGATATTTATAAGTGATGTATCACTGATGAGTTACCAGGAATGTATGGCCCTTATTTCGTCTCTATTTTAATACTTTCTATCACCTACCTTCTCAGTAAAAGTTAGAATGTAATAATTAAATTATCCTAATTAGGTTACTTATCAGCGTATATACAAAATTTTAGCATCAGTAAAATTACGGGTGTTTAACAAAACATTAGGTTTTATTCACTGCTTTATTAAGCTTGTTTTATGACTCTTTTTGCTTTATGAAACTAAATTAAATTAGTCGTAAAATAATAAAAATAATACAAGTAGCCGCTTGAACATTTCCGTCTACCGTCGTTCTACCGCCTTTATAATGGGGAGTGCTCAGAGGAACTTTTCGATCTGGTGCCACAATTTCGATTCTACCATAGCACCTCCCGCCAGAGGAGTACAGCCCATCCCCACATCATAGATGCCTGGCATTGTAAGACCACGAGGTTATTACGGTCGTTCGTTCCTCGAAGCTGCAAGATGTGAAATGGTCTTCCTTCTGAAGTATTTCCTTACTGTTATGACATGGGGTTCTTCAAAGAAGCGTGTTAACAGGGCTCTTAAATGCTGGCAACGCGTACGCAGCTCTTCTGATGTTGCAGATGTCCATGGGCGGCGATGACCACCTCCCATCAAGTGGCTCGTGCGTTCGTTTGCCTCCTACTTTACATTAAAAAAAAAAAAAAGAAAAAATTAAATTTATTTATTTTGTTGAAAATTGTGGTGTCTTTACTACCATGTTATTCATATATTTTTTATGAAAACACTCCACTAGTTTGTTATTAATAATAAAAAGCTGCACAAACACTATGAAAAATGCCTGATATTCGATTGGACTCGAACCAGTGTCTGTTGCCTCACCGTGGCTACTGAGGCAACAAACACTGATTCGCATTAAACATTGTTATTGATATAAAGATTGAACAATATTTGTATCAATAATAATGTTTAACTTTTTTAATATTTAAATTGTCGTAATTAGGTGATGGCGTCGGTCGGTGGGGATGAATCAGCAACAGGCCTGAAGCGCGAATTCATTTGCAACGATCTAGTGAAGTCACCACGCGAAACGAGGTTCACTAGAACGGAGAATGGCAAAGAAGTCACTATGTCTGTCGAACAATACTTTTACCAAGAAAAGAGACTTAGGTGAGATTGCATTAAATGATTAATAGAATAGAATAGAAAAAGGTTTATTCATGGCATACACCATATCAATAAACACTTGTTAATTTAGTATAAAAGTTTAAATTAAAATTAAAAGCTAAAAGTAGGCAGGTAATAATATAACTTTAAACGAAATATAAACTACAAAATGAATAATTAATACGAACAACAATGAGTTGCTACCATGAAAAGGCCGCGACTCAGCGTAATGCCAATCTGGAGACAGTCGCACTCTCATAAATAAATATTAGACTACATCACATACGTTGCTCCTATTCCGAAGTAACTAAACCACTTGTGTTATGGAAACCGGAAACAAAAAAGACCGGTTCCACAAACACCCATACCCAAGACAGCCCCGTTCCTTTTTACATAAGTTTTGATTATAGTGACCATCTCTTCCGATCCTTGGGGTACACGAGAAGGGCACTATAACCAGTGCAAGCACAGGGACTTTTTCAGTGAGGCCATGACCCGAGATCAGCCCGTTTACACTGACTTCATCCGGTTCTCAAAACGCTTAGTGCCTTGAGTGAGCTGCCCCGAGTGCACATACAGCACCCTTCCTTTTTTCCCAGATAGGTACCGGCACTGTGGGGACGCTCACTTCCCGTTGCGCATTGAACGCGCAACTAACTGTTGGCACCGCTAAGCTCTTAAGTCTACTACCAAATCTCCTCTCACCTCCCGACACGGAAGCGTCTCTCCAGTTCCCAGAAACGTACGCGACCGGAGGGAAAGGAGGATGTCTAGCGCTTCCTCTACTAGCGCTCCGGGCTAGTGCTGGAGATGCCGGTCGTAATGTCCTGCGATAATGTCCGGATATAGCATCCGACTTAAAGGCATTTCACGTGTCCCGTGCGTCTCCTTGCTTTAAGCCCTCGTCTACACCGCTACTACGACGCGCTAGCTGCGCGCGGGATGAACGTCCCGGCCACATGTTCCCGAGGCAGGCGAACGTGTTCATTCCTACAGCTAACCACGGCGAGTCCGTACCCAATTCCGGGTCCACCAGAGACGCCCGTGAAGGTGTCTGGCGGGGGGCTTGGCCCGGACGCCCACCGTACCCTGGTCTTGTCGTGGAGCCTGTAGTCTCTCGAGTTAGTGGATAGGGACAGACCCGAGACAATATAGAAAAGTTTTTCTACATTGACCCAGCCGGGGATCGAACCCGGGACCTCAGAGATGCGAAAACCGGTGTGCGAGCCAATTTACTTTGTGTTTGTCTATTTATTTCTATAAAATGTCGAATTTTATGGCTTCTAATATGTAAATTAGAAATATGGGGCTTTACACCAGAGTTTTTTTATACGGGTTTTCGTCAAGAATGTCCGTGGGGTTTACGCAACTATTTCTGTACCATAAAAAGAAACAAATGCAATTGATTTTTTAATATTTTTACTTTTTTTTGTTGGATTTTGTAACGTTTATGAATGTTTTCCGAGGGTTCTGTACTGGTGAAGGTGAAGTGATAAACGCTAGGTTTTTATTTTAATATGATACCCAGTGACGAGACGAACGGGACACGCCTGTCCATAACAGTTCCAGTGCCGTCCAGAGCTTTAAAACACAAAGATTTGAGGGGCACTGGCACTGCGCCCGTCATCCTGAGACATAGGTTGATAGGTCTGAAATCAAGTGCCTGTAATTTCACCATATAAAAAATAAAATATGTTTTTCAGATTAAAATACCCGCACCTTAACTGCGTATGGGTAGGACCTCGAGACAAGAACATTTTCTACCCCATGGAGTTGTTAACGGTGTCTTATGGTCAGGTAAGTACTTGTTTTCTTTTTATTATTTTAACTACGTATAAAACTACGTATAAGACTATGTATGTATGTAATGAGAAAAAAACAAATTGTGTGAAATTTACATTACCCAATGTTAGAGAGACGGTTACAAACATCATTGTAGTTAGAAACGAAAAATTGAATCTTGTGGATACAGTTGTATTTCTAGGTATAACGTTAGATGCTAAATTGCAATGGGGTCCCCATATAAGTAAGTTATCAAAACGGCTCGGCTCTGCAGCGTACGCGATTAAAAAAATAAGGAAACTTTCAGACGTCGAAACCGCTAGATTGGTTTACTTCAGCTACTTTCACAGTCTAATGACATACGGCATTTTGCTTTGGTGTAATGCCGCCGATATCAATAGAATCTTTGTCCTGCAGAAACGTGCAGTTAGGGCAATTTACAATCTGGGCCCCAAAGTATCTTTGAGAGATAAGTTTAAGGAAATTAACATTCTTACACTAGCCTCACAGTACATTTATGAAAATGTAATTTATGTTAAAAGGAATAGTAATTTATTTATGAAAAATAGTGACAGACATAACATTAATACGAGGAATAGAAATAAACTAGTTTTTCTTGATAGTCGTCTTCACAAAGTCAAAAAATCATTTAAGGGGCAATGTATACGCTTCTATAACAAGATTCCGGTTGATATACAAAATTTGCCTTTCACGAGGTTTAAAACTATAGTGAAACAAAAACTTTATACTAAAGGTTATTATACAACTTCTGCGTACTTGGATGACAAAAATCCGTGGTAGTAACCCGTTTAGCTCATGGAGGTAGTCTCGATCTCTGATGTCTCTGATGTACAATATTAAATGTTATTTACAAAGAGCAACCCCTAGAGTTTCTTGCTCATTCTTTTCAGGGGAATCTGCCTTACGAATGAGCGGTGGAGTTTAACCATTGTGACGATTTCAAGTGTAATAATGCTTACCTATGAAATAAAGATTATTTTGAATTTGAATTTATAAAACTCCTTATATTTGTTGTTATACAATTCAAACAAGTTATTCTGCCTATTATAGTTGAAATTTGGTAATATTTTACTTATATCCCGTAGGCGCTGCCTTCCCATGAACGCGCTTATGTATTTCATTGTTTATTAAGTTTTAATTATACAATTTTTAATTACCAAATATGAAAAAATTATGTGCTTTAGTATCATTTAAAGTAATATTGTAGAAAATAAAAGTAAATGTGGGTTACACCACTTTTGTGCTGATGCTTCTTTTATAGTCAATTAAGCCATTGACTCCGTATAAGTTCCACTATCTATCGAAGCGGAGTGGGGAAGAGCTGTATTTCAGCAACCAGTAGTATTTCGTTATTTTTGCCATCTCTGTGATCTGGCCAAAATAACCTAATATTATCGGTTGTTGACACTACAGATTTACTCTGCCTCGTTTTTGTAGACAATGAATCTTTTGATGCGTGTACATTATGTGTTATATTGTTGTCCACTACAAGATTTACGATGATTATCGTTGAACACAAAACACGATTAGATTAATTATTCTCCTCCGCAATGCATGTAAAAATTGTAAGCGGGCGCAGTCGCAATATTTTATAATTTTTATAGTATTTTATTTATTTTTTGTCCAATAGGTCGTGAACAAGCAGTTGAACGAAATGCAGCTTTCCACTATGGTGAGGGAAGCGGCAACGCCACCTGACATACGCAAGCGCAAGATTGAAGAAGTGATAAGCAGTGTAGTTATTTTTTACTTCTCAACTTAATTAACTACGCAGCACATTATATACATATATTATAGTTCTAATAATTTTTCAGATGAATTACTCCAACAATGTATACTTCAAGAAGTTCGGCTTGGAAATTGGAAAAGAATTCATCGAAGTGAAAGCGAAAGTACTTAAGGCTCCAGTATTGGATGTCGGCGGTGGTCAAACCATTCTTCCACGGTACGACATTTTCCTATTAAAATTTGTCTGATTTTTTACTCTACACAGGCAGTTTAGTGTATGATATTTTATTTTTTGTATGGAAATAAAACCTTGAAGTTAATTGTAATGCCTTTAGCATGGTCGACAATGTTATTTTTGCATTAGTGTGTAGGATTACATCACACCATTTTTTCAGTGTAAGTGCTTACCACCGCCAAATAATCATAAAATCTCACTTCCGTCGTAATGACTAATGAGAATTACATTATTGAAATTTGATATTGAATCATCGTAAGGTCTGCTAGTTCGTTACGTAGCTCAATAGGGAGAACTGCTGAGAGACGCTGAAGCGCTGATTTCAATCCAACCGGATTTAATGAATTTTTCTTAGTGCTCGATCTTTGTATTAATAATTATCATAAATAAAAAAAAATTGCAAATCATGGTAATAAAACATCGTGATATCCAATAAATTTAATATTACAAACAAGCGTTCAAATAGCATATTATATCTTATTGACGCCATACACGGACAAGCTGTCTTCTCAACACAACACACAGTGAAGTCTATTTTATCTGAGTAAAAAATGAATACAATGTCGTTCACAGAAGAGGCGCATGGCAAGCTCAGCGGCTTTTTAAAGCTGAGAATTTGGATTCGTGGGCGTTCATTGCGCTGGACCTCGATCCACGCGCAAGTAACTCGGAGACTATTATCTCTCTGGTAAGTTTATTATCCATTCAGTCGTCCAGCGCGCGACGCTTAGAAAATGGTCAAGTGGCCCGTTTTCTTATTGTTTACATTATGAGCCGCGATAAGGCGCGTGTAATATAAACACTTGAAACTCGAGAAACAATTAAGCTACGCCAAAAAGAATAACATGACCGATAAGAGCAATTAAGTAGCTTTTGTTTAGACTACAGTTATGAATGTAATTCGACGACTTTATTTGCGAACTTCCGAGTACACTGAACACTTCTGATAAATTTTCATAGTGTTTTACACTTCAACTCTTAACCACTTTGTATATTCATTTTATTATGAAACAAAACATATTTAAAGGTGATGAGCATTTAAATACCTATCGATTAACACTAGAATCATATGAAAATATTTTATACTATTTTTAAAATAATAGTGGTAAACAATAGTAGTGGCGGAATTCACGGAAAATTTGCGAAAATGGCTTAAAAAAACTACAGGTCGCGAGGAAGAAAATTGACGAATCCTACCAAAATTCACAATATCGTCATATATACAACAATTCACAATATAGGTTGCATTAAAATATTTCTAAGTGTATGCACTTAGAAATATTTTAATACAACCTATATTCAATAAAGTTTTTGTTTGAGTCATATTTAACTCCCAAAAAGTCTTTTAATAATGAATAAGTTTTTTGTCTAAAAACAATCACAAGGGGCAATGACATCCACTTTGACGACTTTTTTTTCCAATGAGATTGTGATTCCAATATGATATCAAATGTTAAAGCTTTCAGAAAAAGCACACCGAGAAAAAGCACATCCTGACGATTATTTTGATAGGTAATAATTACAAAAATAAATAGTAATGGCATTCATTACAGCAGAAATCTTCAGCTGACACTCAACGACGACAATCGCGCCCTAAGTTGTAATTTTGACATTTATTTTTTATTTTATCATTGCTTGGTAGGGATGTCCGTTAATGTTAAGTGATTACCTGTTATATTGAGAAATACTAGTAAAAATTTGAAGGCGATGCACTAGAATAAGCGGAAAAAAGTTGATTGCGGCAGTATTGTTTATGATGGTAATTATAGTTGCCAATAACGTTTGGTGCAACAACATCTTTTCAACTTTAGTTGCCAATAACGGTTTAGTGGATCCCAATAGAGAATATTGACATAGTAGAATAAAACAAGTAGGGTAACTCCGTACAAAATAACAGTGCGGCTTGGATCTGTGCGCAACCGCCGCGCGCCTTGTATGGACGCACTCATTCGCATAGTAATTAAAAGCGCGTTGGGACGAGTGGACGACCAGTGTTATCTAACGCCAGAGCATCCTTTGATTATGTAAATGTGTGCGTCCGTTCACGGCGCGCGGCGGGCACGTACACATGCAGGCTGCGCTGTGACGTTTATACGGAGTTACCATACTTTTTAATTTTCTACTATGATATTTATCAGGGTTATCTAACATTAACTAGCTTCAGGAACATGTTATACTTAGCAGCGTATTAAAATTTCTAAAACGGAACTTCTTTTGTAGTGATTAATTTTGTTAACAATTAGTTCATAGACGTAGCGGCCACTCTAAGATCACCTATGTCGTCGGATATTTCAATGCTAAGACGATATCAATTAACCTATACTCGGAACTGATGGGAAGGATTTAAAAAACATCACTTCCGGCAAATATTCTAGTGCAATAGTATCTATAGTTAAATTTGAATTATTTTGTTTTTTTATTGTTTGTTGGTTTATTGGTTTGAACGTCCTTACTACTTATGTCTTATGATAAATATTTAAAAATATTTAAATATTGTGTAGGAAATTGTGATTGAATCTATTAACCTGCAACTTAATATATCGCACGTGACTACTAACATCTCAAAAATTGCGTTATATAAAATATAATGTCATTCGTATACGAATTAATTTGCAAGAGACAGGACAACATTGTTTACTCGTAATTTTCCAGTTGCAGAGAGAAGGCAGTAGATTAGGCATGAGAATCGCCACACCGGCTGCCGTAGTGCACAACGTGAGGATCACAGAGCTGTATAGTCGTCTGATGACTTTCGCGAATTCCAAAATAAAATTCGTCGTTATCGTCGTTGCAACTCGAGGAAAGGATTATTATCATAAGGTAAGATAAAATGTCGTCATATTTATCCGTAGGTGCATTAAGATGCAATACATTAAGATTTTGGAATATCAATTTATTATTATCATATGTAATAATTGTTTCTACCTGTAATCACGCTATTTTACCTACATAGTGACTTTTAGCTGCAAATCTACCTGGTATGTGCAGGATCAAGAGCACGTGAAGCTTGACATTTAAGATTTAAATCCAACTCTATGCTGCTTACGGTAAGAACGGTTCAAAGTACAAAGTGTCAAGCTAGACATGCTCTTGATTTTACCCAAGTGCTGCGATTCGGACATATTTAATTCATAATTCGTTTATTTATGACGATACAATAACATGAGAGTTTATTGCGCAAAAGTGTTGCCCCCTTACAAGCATCTAGTGATTCGAGTGCAGTCGATAAACATTCTATCGATTTTTTTTTATAATATCAAATGACGGGACGAACAAGTCTGTCCATAACAGTAGCAGTGCCACTGCGCCCGTCACCCTGAGACATAAATTGACGAGTCCCATGTGCCTGTAATTTCACCAGCACCCTTACTCTTCAAACCCGGAACACAGTAATGCTGACAATACTGCTTGGCGACTGAAATAGGTAAGGTGGCAGTACTACCCTGGACGAACTCTTTCACAAGGGGTTCTACTTGACTATCGACTGAATATTCGTTGCGTTTATAAATTTACTAATTAGTTTCGATTCTCATGGGCCAACTGTCAGAATAAGAATAAAGAAGGCGATAACGCAATTAATAATTAGAACATCATAAAATTGCCTCTTCATAATATATGTTTTGAAAATTTGTTTCTTCCTTCACAATCTATCGATAAAACAACCGACAAAAATGGCATGACTATTTAAAATTTTATGAAAACCGACAACACTGTAAACGGAATTTTACTCCATTTTCAAAAAAGACAGATTTTAAATACATGATGTATCACACCAATCTTTTTATATAAGCGCTCTTACTTCTTACTACGCACTCAATATTTAACTACCTCCGTGGCCGAACGGTTACCATGCCGGACTGCCACGCAGAGGTCCCAGGTTCGATTCCCGGGCCGGGAGAAATAGTTGTATGGCCTACAATTATTTCTCTCATGAGTTTGGATGTAATTTGTGGTTGTCTATGTGTGTGATCATGGCACCCGCGACACAGGGTTTTCCCTAGTGCGGGGCTATGTTGAGTGTGTGCATTATTTATTATTTATTATTATTATTATTTTTAAGAACATTCACGATTTGACTTGAAAGGGTCTTTTGTGGCCGTCTTCTTCCAATGTTGCCTTTCACGTTGACCTTTTACATATTTTCGCGACTCTACTTTCATTTATTCGTCTCAGGTGCCTAAATTTTCTGAGTGTCGCAAATGTCAATAAGTGGCGCTTGACCACTTTTCATCAAATAGACTGTGACTGCCGGTTTATTTAAAGAAACCAGTACATAATTGTTTGAAATTCAGGTGAAACAAGCAGCAGAGCGAGAAGTTGGCATACTGACACAGTGTATCAAGGAGTTCACGGCATCGAGGAAGATGAACCCTCAAACAGCTAAAAATATTTTATTGAAGGTGTGTTTTATTCATTGAGTATATAACCAGAAATAGAGACGAAATAAGGGTCATATATTCCTGGTAGCACATTTGCGATTCAGCTCTTATAAATATCAACTCCCAGTTGCACCGAAATATAGACAGGCCAACTATGGACCTGTGTGTACGTCTCCGTATATTCCAAAAAAAAAAATATTCTGTATTTATTGTAATAAAGATAATATCTCTAACAACGCCGTGCTGCTCTATTCGGTGGTGTGGGAAAAACAGCAAAACATCTAATTACAAAACAACGGAATCACATTTCATCGGTAATTAAATATTAAATATGTAATTTTGCAATTTTCGTCCATTATAGCAAAGCTCAAGTTAACTGGTCGTTTTGAGGTGAAACAGTTGACGACACCCATTGACGACACCCGTCAATTGTTTCGAACTCGAGCTAGCTAATCGGAGCGCAGTTGTCACAGTAATGATATGGCAGAATAGTTTTCAAACAAATTAAATGACATTTCATCTCTATTTCTGGTTATATACTCGATGGTTTTATTAAATGTGTGCAAAATATTATTTATGAAAAGTATTTTTATGTTCAGCCGTTTCTTATAGTGCGCGCGGAACTAGCTGGCCGCGCCTTAGGTATGTGAGCGGTGGGACGGGGAGGCGGGGGCACTTGATGTCATTACTCAGAATACTCAGTTCGGCGCCGGACTTCGCGGCGGCAACACACGTTGACAGTTCTGGCTAGTTTAGACAAAACGCACAAGAGATTGCAATGTCAAGATGAGTCCGCCGATAAAAAGACAATCTAAGGAAATAATATTTAAAGTGCATACGTTTTTTAAAAAACGGAAAGCCGATGTCAATAGTTTAGAATATAAAACTGATGCGAATATTCATAAATTAGTGGCAGAAGCAACCGGGATATCAGAACGAAGTGTAAGGAGAGTGATTGCTCAAAGTAAAACATCCTTGCAAAATACAGGGGAAGCAAAATTTAGTTCTCCACGAAGGCGAAAAGAGATAAAAAAGAAAATACAAGTTGATGATTTTGATTTAGGAGTGATAAGAAGAAAAATAAATCAGTTTTATACGGTACAGAAAACAAATCCAAGTCTACGAAAACTAAATGCTGTGTTAAAAGAGGATAATATTTTAGATTGCGGATTAACTTATTTAAGAGAACTTTTGCACAAACTGGGATATTCATTTAAAAAATGTAAATCGAAGAGATCCCTTTTATTAGAGAGACCAAACATTGTTGAATGGCGAGTGAAATATTTGAGGGCCATAAGTAAATTCAGAGAAGACAAACGAAATATATTCTTTTTGGACGAAACTTACGTTAACCAAAGTCATAATGTCCAAAAATGTTGGCAATCTTCGTCGGAGCCTGGTGTTTATGCAGATATAGGCAAAGGAAGGCGTTTAATAATAGTTCACGCTGGTAGTCGGAACGGGTTAGTTGACGATGCTCTGCTAATTTTTAAATCAGATTCAAAAACAGGAGACTATCATGGAGACATGAACTCTACAAATTTTTACAACTGGGTTGATCGAAAGTTAATACCTAAACTTCCACCTAACTCAGTCATAGTTATGGACAATGCAGCTTACCACTGTGTGCAAGTTGAGAAGAAACCGACTATGTCCTGTATGAAAATTAATATGCAGAATTGGTTGCAAAATCATAACGTGCCCTTTTCTCCCACGATGGTCAAAGCTGAACTCTTGGGCTTGATTAATACGACCCAATCAGAAAAAATATACACGATTGATGAACTTCTGAAAGGTGCAGGTCATACTGTTCTAAGACTACCTCCATATCATCCAGATCTCAACCCAATCGAGCTTGTGTGGGCAAATATAAAAAATTGCCTGGCCAGAGATCACATTAATGCTACATTGGACGAGAAAATTACAATACTAACAAGACTATTTTCTGAATTTTCTGCCGAACAATGGCAAAAATGCGACGACCACGTACAAAAAAAAACGAACAAGAATACTGGAATCATGATATGAGATATGATACTGTGATGGACGAATTCATTATAAACTTACAAGATGATTCTGACTCAAGTTCAGACAATTCAGAATCAAGTGATTCAGAGGATATGTCAGAGTAATTTCATATCTATAAATACAAAGTCGTGTTAGTTACACTAATTAATTAATAATAATTTCATAAATGATTCAAATATGTCGGAAGAATTTCATTTAATTTGTTTTTGGTTTATTTTACTTTTAATTGCAATGTACGGACAACAGCAAGTCCATCAATACATAAATGTTAAATTTATCCAATCAATTTTATACTCTATTCCCTGGACTTTAAGTTGAAAATCAATTGAGGAAATCTGACAGTTTGTGGCGGCCTGATGTGCTGCCGACTGTACATTGCAATTAATTAGATAGGTATAATATAAACTTGTAAAAGTTCAATTGGCTATAATTTTTTCTTTTCAATAACTGAACAATTATTGTTCACGATATCTCGAGATTGGTCGTCACTGTCTAATCTCATGTGCGTTGCGAGCAGCAAGCAACCCGCCCCCTCACCCCTGTCCCTACCTAAGGCGCGGCCAGCTAGTTCCGCGCGCACTATAGTAAAAATATTCTAAGTATGTTGTTTCTATACGTACTGTATTTATTAAATGTAAAAGTTGAACATAATTTCTCA